GATCTGGGTTGTTGACACGGTATTCCATATGCATAGCTAAAGCTCATGGCATTGAAAGACTGATTTCTTCATTTCCCTGCCCGTCTCTTGCCTATCAGCCCAGCAGGAAGCACTGCTGACTCCTTTTCCTGTCTCGTCTAGTGTTTGCCTCTGTATTTTACAAATAGCGTCTACATCGCTGTTTGATGATGGATTTCAGATCTCTTTTGACTTCCTTCTTGTTGACCAGGGTTTAACTCTAGGGCGCCTGGATGGCTCAGTCGGTTAAGCGTCTGCCTTTGGTTTGGGTTGTGATCCCAGGGTCCTGGGATGGAGCCCTGCTTCGGGCTCTCTGCTCCTCAGGGAGCCTGCTTCTCCCTCTCCCCCTGCCCTTCCCCCTGCTCCTGCGTGCTCTCTCTCTCTCTCTCAAATAAATAAGTAAAACCTTAAAAAAAATTAACTCTCCTCCTCCTCATGTTCCCCGCTTCCCTGTCCTGTTCATACCACGGTGTCGGGTTTTCGGTGCCGTCATCAGTCAGTGTTTACTTTGGAGTGAGTATGGGGCAGTGTAGAGCTCTGTGATGTACATTCTCCTGTACGGTGTTTGGTGTTTGATTTTTTTCCCAGCAAACATTTGCCTTGCTCTTTCAGCTGCCAAGTTTTTTATCTGTTACCTAAGTCCCCATCCTTTCTTTCTTTTTTTTTTTTTTTTAAAGATTTTATTTATTTATTCATGAGAGACAGGGAGAGAGAGAGAGAGAAGCAGAGGGAGAAGCAGGCTCCCAAGGAGCAGGGAGCCCGATGCGGGACTCGATCCCAGGACCCCGGGATCATGACCTGAGCCGAAGGCAGACGCTTAACCATCTGAGCCACCCAGGCGCCCCAGTCCCCATCCTTTCTATGTGGCTCTTAGATCTGTCAACCACCTACCAATATTATTTTCCAAGTGTTTGGCTCTTTCAGGTCGTCTGTCAGTTCTCTTTCTTTCCTACGGCTTCTCCTTCCCCTGCCCCAGGGTGGAGGAGGCGCACCCACAGCCATCATCCTGGCTGCTGGTTTCATTTTAACGTACCTCGCCTTGTTAGGATGCGGGAGCCAGCAAGCCGACTTCTGGTGCAATTTACCTCGTGCCTCTTAGCCCCCGTTTTGGACCCCCAAACCTCCAGGGATGGTTCTTTGAGAATCTGCTGAAAGCTCCGAGCACTCTTCCCAGGAAAATAGTTGCACAAACACAAAATTTGGCATGTCATTTTGTGAATGTCTGAAAACACGTATGTAACTTACATATAATACTTCGGGGGATGTAATCTTAGCAACTATAGAGTTCCAAATAAGCCTTTAGTGCCTAAGCGCTAATGGTAATAAGTCCAACTCCATCGTACCCGAAAATCTCCTATTTTTACCAATAAATAGTTCTTTTCTCTTGAGCATTTTATCATTTCTTAGTATTTGATGGAATGAAATTTTAATCCCTTGTGGATGTATGGCCAGCTGGAATCACTTCTCGTTACATTTTGCAACCTTTGATGTTAATTTATTTCTCCCTCCAACGGTTCTTTATATTGATGTAGCTAGGAAAATGAAGTTTGCTCTGGTAACACTCTGAGTATTTGTTGAGTTGAACTGAAATGATTGAGGAGCTGCCTTCCCACAAGCACACTGTAACCTAGCACGGTAAGTCCCAATTAAAGAGACACTACAGACAGATTCTAATCTTCCTAATTAACAGCTGCCTTCTGGGGTCATTGGCAAGAGGGATTTTTCCGTCTGCAAGGAAGAAAGTTACACTATCACACAGTCACTCTGTTAAGCTCCTATTAAGACAAACTCCAAGGGACTGTATGTACTTAGATTAGAATTTCATCGTATTGAATATTGCTTGAAGTAAAGTGATCGGTGGCTGAGATCTGTAATGTGCCTGTGTTTGCCTACTCATTGAGTAGCTGCCGAGTACCAGACAGTGACTTTAGTTTGAAGTAGGATATGACCTATGTTCTTAGTCCTCAGAGATTATTTTTTAGCCATTCATCATGAATGACTAAATTTTGAAAAGTGAAAGAGGGAGTTTAACTAAATGCCAAATTTTAAAAATGTCAAAATAATCGGATTTCCACCAATTTTGTTATATGGCATATTAATTGGCACGTTCTATCTTAATTGAGTTGTTTTCTCTGATTTCCAAGTACTTCATTGATCTTAGTAGAGGAGGACAATAGGGAGTGTTTTTAGTCAGTATCGACAGACTGAAATAGAAATAGTATGGCGGCTTATGTCACCAGCCCTTCTTGAAATCGTCAGTAATATTTACCAGCATTTAGATAAAAAAAAAAAAAAAGATGACGCTGTCGCTTGAGAATGTAAAACTGATTCTGTTTGGACAACTTTCGGTGAAAAGAGCATGAGGTACCAGGTGAAGACTGTTCTTCAGTCAGCTTTTAGTATGTGGTGGTGAGAAAGCGAAGACGCGAGGCTCTCACAAGCCCTGGTGAAAGGACAGACTCATCACCGGGCATCTTGACTTGGTAAAGGATCCAAGGCCATAGAATATTTGAGACAGAAGGCCAATATTGGGATGTTAAAATACCGATGTAAAGTGAAACTTTAAAACAAGTTTGAAGGGGTACCTGGGTGGCTCAGTCAGTTAAGCATCTGCCCTCAGCTCTGGTCATGATCCCAGGGTCCTGGGATCGAGCCCAGCGTCGGGCTCCCTGCTCAGCGGGGAGCCTGCTTCTCCCTCTTCCGCTGCCCCTCCCCCCCCGCTTATGCTTGCGCTCTCTCTCTCTCAAATAAATAAATAAAATATTCTTATAAATAAATAAAACAAGTTTGAAGATAAATCACAAGAAACAGTAACAAACCAATTCAATGTGAAAGCAAGTCTATTTTGACAAACAAAAGGCAAAGTTACAGTATTTTTTTTCTTTTTTAAAAAAAAGTCATGTTTAATCTTCTTTGTACATTTTGAAGAATCTGAGTGTTGTATTTTGCTCAGGAAAGAGAATAAATTGGATGTACTGGCTGATTTCAGTCCCTTTTAAGTAGCTCCGCTGTGTTTTAGGATCATCTCTCCAAGGATAATGATAGATATGAATCAGTTAATTGTTTAATGAGGCTGAGGAGCATAATGCTGAAGCTCGGTCATGCAAAATTTAATACTTCTAGTGTCGGTCACAGCTGTTGCCGCCGGTTAGAAGTTACCGTGTCTCGTGTGCACGTACGCACGCACACACCAGTGTGCAGACGCAGGGAGGGGAGCCGTGGCTTTGTTGTAGAGAATACGCTTTTCTCCCCGGTCAGGCTGAGACCCTCATGGAGAGGCTGCTGCCAGATGCTGGGTACAGCGCCTTCAGGTGGAAGACGGCTGTGTTCAGGCTCTGACCCTCGCCGCCCTGTCATCAGGGTCCCAGCGGGTGCTCTGCCTTCAGGCTCCCCTCCCTTTGCCTGTGCGCTTACCTGTTTACCTGAAGTGCCTCCTCTTCTCTCTGGGCCCGATCCCTCTTCCTGAGACGCCTGGCATTGTTTTCCCTGTGTGTTCTTCTCTGACATCTTGTTCACACCCATGCATTGATCGATCATGCCCCATTTTACCGGCTTCACCTCCAGTCCTCTGTTAATTATTCCTTATGAAACCTTCTCTGCTCAAATGACCGGGTGGTTTCTGTCTCCTAATTGGACCCTCGCCAGTGTCGGCGTCCTCTGCCTGGAATGCCAGGCTGCACTAGCCCATCAAAGGCACATACAGAATCTCCCAGGACCAGCCCGGGCGATGCCTCACTCATTCATTCCACCAACATCTGAGCTCCTACTGTCGGATAGGCACTGGGCCCAACTCCGGGGTTATGTAAGACCGGGCTTGAGCCCGACAGGAGCTCTGAGACTAGGAGAAGAGAAGAATAAGTCGTCAAGTGTGTTGAATTAGAGAGGTAGGAGTGTGTGTGTGTGTGTGTGTGTGTGTGTGTGTGTGTGTGTGTGTGTGTCTGTGTGTCTGTGTGTCTGTGATACTGTTGGGGGAATAGAGTAAAACACAAAACATAAATTTGAGTGTTGTGCCTCTGGGAGCTGAAAGGATAAATAAATGAAAATGCAAGAAATTGATAAATATTTACTGCTTTCAGTGTAAGTGATGTCCATAATTTTGTTTTGTTCTTTTCCATTTGTGAATGTTCTTTCTCTTTGCACAGAGCACTTGAGGTGGGTAAGGTTTTCATTCATCTCATCTCTGTTCCTAAGGGCAGGAACTGTCCTTTATCTTAATCACCTTGTACCCATAATGCCACTCATCTAGTAGGTGCATAATAAATGGTAATTGACTGAAGAAAGGCTAACTATATTGAGTTCATATTCCCTGTTTTTTTTTTTTTTTTTTTTTACTCCAAATCAGTCAGTGTTTTCTTATGTTGACGGTTCAGGAACCATTCCAAGCACTTGTTTTGGGGCTTGAGGTGTGAACAGGAAGGGTCAATCAACTCGAGTGCTTGTTCTCGTTTGTTCCTCTTCAGCCATTTACAGATAATATCGACCACCTCAGGTGTGCGTCAAGCAGTGTTAAGTACTTTGTAGACCTCTAATTCTCTGGTACCCCTGTATGACAGGTGCAGAAATTGAGGTTAAGTAAGTTACTCAAGGCTACGCGGAGAAAATGTGGCCAGTGTCACCGTGAGTGGTTCCCATGGTCAGTCAGGTGCCCACCCTGCTCGTGTGCACACGTAGACATCACCCAGAAGCCTTTTTTCCTCTCGAGACACAGTCGCCTCCTTCCTAGTCCTAGAGACACAGCCCTATGGCCCTCCAGGCACCTTGACGTCCAGGCACATGTGAACAGGGGTTGGGAAACTTGGAAAGGGCCAAAAGTCTCTTCCCATTTTCTCATCGAACTGTAGCCACTTGCTGGCGAGTTGAAATTTGGCACAGGTGATGGCCAACGTTTCTTTGCATGAAAGGTCCAGTGAAGTGAAAGCTCAGGGGGAATGTCTGTGCACTTTTATTACGCACTAACTCTCGTCCGCTCTGTTGCTTCCCAGGTGCTGTTACCCCCGTACGATGACGCTGCTGTGAACAGCACTGCCAAGGAGCCGCCACCACCTTACGTGTCTGCCTGAGCCCTCGAGTGTGGGGGCCTGAGAATAGCAGCTCGATTTCCAGACGTCAGAGCAATAGTTCTTTCTTTGCACTTCTGGGATGAGCTCTCTGAGCTTATTTGTTGCTGAAATGCTCCAGTTTTTAAATGTAGATGTTAAGTGGAAACCCTCTTTAGTTTTAAGCATACGCTTCGGCTAGAGCACGGTGATAGACTCACTGTAGAGTTCTCTGTGTGTGTCGGGGGGCGGGGCTCAGTGGGCTTCCCTTGTCTTCCCCGGGGGTTCCCTAGGCATTGAACCTTCCCAGCAATCTGGATGAGCCCGGAGTCAGAGAAGTCTGGTTTTGTCCCTGCTGGGCCTCAGAGTCAGGGAATTCATCACATTTTTTCTCTGTGTTCCCCCTTATCTCTTTTGAAAGTGTAAAATAAAATCAAAATTAGAGAATGCTTTTCTTAAGCCATTCCAGTATTTGAACAAACCCTTCAAACCTTATAGAACAGGCATATCAATTGTGTGATCATTGCTCTAATTAGGGAAATAGGAGTCCATATCTATATAAATAAAACAACAATTTCCTTATGATTCTTTATGACTTAAATTCAATGACAGTTTGTATTTGCTGTTCAAGGATTTTGTCCATGGGCGGAATTGAGACCCTTCCACAATCCCAGGCAGTGACCGCGGCCACTCTCCGATGGCTGGTCTTGAACGCCCCGTGTCTGGGGTCATGGGGTGGCGTGTCTCGCCTGTGTTACAGTGGTGGAGCGGATGCGTTTAGTACCGCTTGGTGCTCCCTTCCTCCCGGTTTCCCATGCGCACCCAGGACCCTTTTCACTAAGGATTTGCCTGAGAGTATGAAAAAAGGTTTTCTTCTTCTCTCCCTACAAGGCACATCCTACCATTTTGAAATTCCGAGTGTGCTCAGACACCGGTTCAAATGTAAAACAGTCTTCAGAAAGATGAGGAGGGGTGCTTTTCTTGTGGAATGCTCTTATCTCGCCTACCTGAATTTCAAGGAACTTTCATATATTCACATGGTCAAAAGTCACAGCCCTCCTGTTCATTTTTGAGCGTGCTGTAAATGAAGGCTTTGCAATTAAAGTGAGATTTGCCCACATCTGAGAAAGTAACCTTTTGACTCTGTGGTGATCGTGCCTAGGGACCCTTCCCACCCGCATGTGGCCGTGCAGACACAGAGTTTGGCCCGAGGAGGCAGCTTTACAGCTTGTTTCACACATATGTATAAATACACATTTTTTTCTATTTTAGTGCTGATAAAATCAGAGCATCTTAGGCCAAGAGAAATGGAGCCGAACAGACTCGAGCTTCCAACATTCCTAAACCCCACCCCTGCCAAGCTCTGTGTGCTCAGCTGTTTTGCATACGATTGCTTTATGTCCATGGTGTACTTTTAATAAGCAGTTTGGATTTTACTCCATTCCAAGGGAGATTAAATAAGGGAGGTAGGAGGAGGGGATTTTCATCCCGGAGAATCAGCCTCGGTGATTTCCTTTGGTATACCTCATTAGTATTCTTTATAAACTCAACCGAGGAAATTCTCTTCCTGAAAGCTTTGTGCCCATAAGATTCACAGTAAGTTAATCATATTAAGAGGTGTTAGGAATGGAAGAGGCCTCTCGGACAGTTTCACTGATCTCTGGAAGGCACACAGGATATCACAGTTGCTTGCATGGACCTCCCTGTGATTTTCCAGCCCTCTAATAATTTTTGTGGTATGAAAAATGGCACATGGTTAAGTGGAAGTGCTGAGTTTGAGTCTGTGTGGCGTCCTCTGAGGGACTATTGTGCATGTAATGCTCAGCCCACACCACAGACGCCAGAATACCCCTTAATTCTCAGGGGTCCTATCTGGAGCTGGCGAGGCGGCCTTTCCTAACCTCTACAGCATAACCTGGGCTGTGCGCGAAAGCCTCCTCCGCAGTTACCTCTACGGAGTCACGAACTGTCCTCTCAACGCCACCCGAGGGCAGGTTGTGATGTGTGGATTAAAATGACCCTGCAGGGCCCATTCCATGACTCAGCAATTCATTCTATTTCATCACCAATCCAATTAAATACCCCTCTTAACTGTATTTTAAGTCCAACTTTAATATCTGACCCCTTTCTCCTCTATTTTGCTATCTACAGTCATTCCCTCACTTGCCCCCATGCCTGTACGCCTCTTGGTCACTTTACTGATGAGAGCACCTCAGGCTTTTTCATCTTGACCACCCTCCCAAGATCCTTATGACCAGATCTTGGATATCCAGCCCAGTGCCAGAAGGTGTGCCAATGGACCCACCAAGTGGCAGCCCGTGTAGGAGAGTTTTAAGTGTGCTCTCTGGGCCAGAGGGAACAGGAAGCTGACACCTGTTGGCTTAGATGTGGTCTGTCCACCCTAGGAACTGAGCTTCCACTGAACAAGCTGGTCAGATTTGCAGAATGCCCAGCCGTATGGACGAGTTTTAAGGCCAACAGACTTGCCCACCCCTTCCTGTACCTTCTTCCAACACAAACCTCATGTGCCGTATCTCTTCCAAATCTGGTGTCCTTGTCCCTGCCCCCACCCTGTCTTACTGTTCCCTGAGAATGCAAGAAACTTTCCCCCTCCCATCCTTTTTTGCACCACCCTGCCTTTTTTTTAATTACTCTGTTCTGGCCCTAAATATTTGTTTAGTTTGACTGCTTACCCAAACCACTCCTCATTTCATGTGTCTTTTCACACTCAGTTCGTTAACAATACTTCTTAGGAATGATCTCACTAGACCATCTGTATAGACACTGTCACCATTAGAGTTGTTTTCTCCATAGAGGGATGCATTGCATTTGAAATAGTCATCCTTTGAGAATAAAATCCTGTTGTGCAAACTGAGCCTTTCTGATCAAGGAAAACTAATGAGACTGTAAAAACATTTCCATTTCTTGAAGAAGATGTGCCATTTTTGCAACCCATCTAGAAACTGATGTAAATATCATTAAATAATATCGCTGCTGGTTATGTAGGCAGTCTCTAATCTTCTGGAGGGGAGAGGGCAGGTGTCTTTGCCAGGGTTTCAAAAGAATCATGCAAAAGGACTGCCAGCATCAAGTGTAGGCTCAGCCCTCGCAGGGCTCCCCACCTTCAGACCTAACATGCACCAAACACAGTGCCTAGAGCTGTATAAAATGGGTTTTTTGGCAGCTCGGACTGAAAGGGAAGGGAAAAGGCTTTGCAAGGATGTCTCCACACCCATGGAATTCACTTAAAAGTGTCTCTGCACACTGGCCAAGTTTTCTGCCAAATGACTCTGGAGTATGGAGGCCAACCAGATCGGTGACCTGCCCAGAAGCCCACACATGCCTCTTGCTGACTATAGCACCCAGACATCAGAAGAGAGAAGCTGTCATTGGCCAGCCCAGAAAAAATTACATCAAGGCAAAAGCCTTAGCACTAAAAAAAAAAAGAAGAAGATAGCAGGAGGGGAAGAATGAAGGGGGGTAAATCGGAGGGGGAGACGAACCATGAGAGACGATGGACTCTGAAAAACAAACTGAGGGTTCTAGAGGGGAGGGGGGTGGGGGGATGGGTCAGCCTGGTGATGGGTATTAAAGAGGGCACGTACTGCATGGAGCAGTGGGTATTACACGCAAACAAGGAATCATGGAACACTACATCAAAAACTAATGATGTAATGTATGGTGATTAACATAACAATAAATATCTAAAGAAAAAGCCTTAGCACTATCCACCCTTCGATGTGATCCTAATTAGCAAGAACAGCTGCTGCTTCAGAATGGGGAGTTTGGCTTAAAACAGCGTAATGGACTCAAGTGTGTTTATTTCATCCCAGCTAAAACTTAACACATGCTTTTTAAAAAGTCATTTACAGTCCAAACGCAGTTTTTGTTTATTAAGTAAGCATACTAAGATGGGAACCTCTTCAACTCAGCAAATAAAATTATAACATGTATTCCTTGGTCTATGCCGAGATGCCCAGGGTCTATTGCTGCAACAGAGCAAAGCGAGTTTGAAAGAGAACTGGATGAGCCCAGGTGGACTGGGCACGCTTAGCCAGCATGTAGGGTTTGAGCCACAGTTCTCTCAGGAAGGGCCCAGATTGAACGAGTCTTTGTCTTGTCTGCTACCTGCTAGTCCCACATCCGGTGTGGTGGCATCTCAACTCCCCCCGCTGCCTACTCAGAACTTGAAAAGTCGTAAGTTCCGGATTCCTGGGATCCTAGATTTGGGACATGGGAACCTAAAGAGCCAATAACACTTCCACCTGTGGTCTCCACCTGAAGAAACCCCCAGCTGTGGGAAGACAAGGGAACAATGGATCTGCACCCTGTGCCACCAGGCACAGCACAAAGGACCCTGTGTCCTGTGTGGTGAAGATGCCCCTCTGACCCTGTGTGGTGGCCTTCGTGAGTTGTGGCTTTTCACCCAGTATTCATATTAGCTAAAGGAATGTATTTGTAATTATTCTTTGTCACTATTTTACTGTCACTGGAAGTTTCTTTAGTTCTTTGAAATTTAGGCCTTTTTAAATTACATTTCTCTTTCCTACATAGAGCTCCCTTCAATAAAAAGAGCAGCTCTAACCCTGCTTTTATCCTGCTGTCAGTTTTCTCGATCTCGATGACTTACTGACATGTCCTATTCATTGTGCCCCAAATGGGAAATTGGCCTCCCTTTCCTCAAATCTGCTCCTGTTGACTTGTGTTTCAGCTGATGGCCTCCCCATCGTCCCAGTCATGCCACTTGGAGATAAATCACAGCTCCTCTGCCTTGTTCCTCTTTCCCCCTTTCCTTCCCCATATCTGATCAGTCTCCAGCCCTGTGACTTCCACCTTTAGATCAAGTGGAATGACATTTACCATTTACTGAGCCCTTCCGATGTGCCAGCCATTGTGCTAAACCCTTCATACATACGAGCTTCATCTGCATTGTACAGATGAGGAAATGAGACTTCTAAAGGAAGAGAACTGGTCCCAAGTCACACCAGTTATTGGCAGAGCCAGGCTTTAAATGCCAATTGAGTCCATGTAAGTGGGTGTTGTGTATCTTTAAGACATCTAGAATCCCAGAATTCTGTACATGCCTCTCACTTCTTACCAGCAACTGTTGACTTCCACTAACTGAAAGGAATACATCCCAATAAGGCAAGCATGTCACGAAAAGCCATGTGAACTTTGTAAACCCGGGGTGGATCTTTATCTTGAGGTTTGTATTACACAAGTAAAGCTGTCAGTTTCCTATTAGACTGGGAAGTGTTCTGCAAATATCAGCTTTTAATTCTTATAAAGAATTGATTCAGGCAGAAGAAAGATCAGACGCAGTGGGACTTTCAGAGTGGTTAATTGTTTTAAGTGAGCAATTGCTTTTGAGGAAATTAGGCACCATTTTAAAACTGCACTGGTTTATCTTTGTTGAGGAAAATATGCGTATTAAGATTTCAGGAAGGGGCACCCGGGTGGCGCAGTTGGTTAAGCATCTGACTCTTGGTTTCGGCTCAGGTGGTGATCTCAGCGTCGTGAGATCGAGCCCCAGGTCAGGCTCCCCGCTCAGTGGAGTCTGCTTGAGATTCTCTCTCCCTCACCCTCTGCCCCCCACCCCGCCTAAAAATAAACAAATACATCTGAATAAAAAAGATTTCAGGCATTCTAACTCAGACTAGTATGCGAGTAAGTAGAACAGTGTTATAATTGGTTTGTACTGTCTTGGAGGAATAGTTGGAGGCCTTGAGACTCACCTTCCTTCCCTGCCCCTGCCCCAGGAAGCTTGTGTCAATGTGTCTGTTTTCCCGCCTATCAAAGGAGAAGGAGACAGAACAGAGCAGTCCTTTCCCTTGGGGCTGTAGGCTCTCTTCTGTCCTATGAACTTAATGTGCTCTATCATCTGCAACCCTGAGAGCCAGCTTCCTTAAACATTTTCACAGCGAATCCAGGTATGGGGGCACCAGGAAACATTGTAAACCTGTTGCCTTCAAAAAATAACATAAGTAATGTAAGAAAAAAATAAAATAAAGCCAACAATTCATCCTTGGGATCTCAACTTAAAAAACTCCCTTCTGGAAGCTTTTATGACCCACTAGTCTGGGAAGTATTCATTTTACAATCCTCCATAGCATACCCAGTGACCCAGGCAACACACATCTTACACTCTATGGTTCCTGTTGCTTTTCTTCTTCTTTTTTTTTAATTCTGAATTAATCAACCTCTTTTTTAAAAGATTTTATTTATTTATTTTAAAGATTTTATTTATTTATTTGACAGAGAGAGACAGCGAGAGAGGGAACACAAGCAGGGGGAGGGGGAGAGAGAGAAGCAGACTCCCCGCCGAGCTGGGAGCCCAATGCGGGGCTCGATCCCAGGACCCTGGGACCGTGACCTGAGCCAAAGGCAGATGCTTAACGACTGAGCCACCCAGGCACCCCAATTGTGACAATTTCTTAAGAACAGCTCAGTGGGGCTCAAGCTCCACAGAGACCACTTCTCCCAGAAGAGCCCTCTCGGAAAACATGTCATTTCTATTGACCATGAGAGGAAACAAAGAGAGGGTCACTCCTCCAGAAAACCCTACCAACTCAACAGGTGCTGTAGTGTGTAATTTGGGGGGTGGGCCTCCTGACTTCTAGGAAAAGGTTGTAAAGGTGATAAGTAAAAAACAGCAACACAGTAATCAAAGGCTTGATCTCTGAAGAAAGATCAAAGAGCAGCTAAGACAGGCTAGCTAATGCTCTACTTCAATTTGAAATCAAAAGAAAACAGCATTCTTAGCTCACACTATTCTTGAGATCAAATTCCTTTTATATGTGAGCTTAATTCAGTAGGGCTCTGAATGACAAGTTAAGTTGCTAGATGTCCCTCTCCCTCAGAACTTCCTTTCCCCTTCCCAGTAGATCAGTGTATTGTTAAAGCACTCGGTAACCAAATCCGAGACCCTACGGAATTCTGAGGCCTTGGGTATACAGGGCAAAATTCTGAACAGATACTATGCCACCAAAGTACAGTTGATGTGTTCATCCACTTCCTGGGCTCTTGAGATTTAAACAAAACTCCTGAAACTATGTGTGATAAAGCATGTTTGCCTTTAATCCTTTACAAGAATATCACAAGATTCTTCTAGTAAAGCCATGTGAATTTCCCCGTGGTTTGGAGGGGGACCATAGTAGATGAGTACAAAAGTCCTCACCAGTAGGTGAGTCCGGCAGTGGAAAGCAAGAGCCAGAGAATAATCAGAAAAAACAGGCGAGGAAGCTGAGGAGTAGAACAAGAAGCCATTCCTGCCTACGTGTGAGAGACCTGGTTCCAGGAAAAAGAGCATTCAAAACAGGGTGTGCAAATGAAGAAGAGGAGCAGTCTGGTTCAAAAAGAGACCAAAATAATTGCATGGAGACTCAGAATTAAAATGAGTCCCATACACCGAAGTGTTATTAATATGTAACTCACATGCCATACAATTCACTGACCCAAAGTCTGCAATTTAATGGTAGTTAATATTATTCAGAGATGTACAATCATCCCCACAACCAGTTTTAGAACATTTTCAGTACCCCCAAAAGAATCTCCATACCCATAAATGATCACTCCCCATCCCTACCCCCAACCTTCCCAGCTCAAGGCAATTTATTTCTCTCTAATGGTTCTGCCTATTCTGGACCTAGAATCATGCAGCAAGTGGTCTTTGGTGACTGGCTCTTACACTTGGCATGTTTTCAAGGTTTATTCATGTTGCAGCTTGTATCAGTCTGTCATTCCTTTGTATTGCAGAATGACATTCATTTTACTTATCCGTTCATCACTTGGTGGGTTGTTTCCACTTTTTTTTTTTTTAAGATTTTATTTATTTATTTGACAGAGAGAGAGAGCGTGCGCACAAGCAGGGGAAGGGGCAGAGGGAGAGGGAGAAGCAGGTTCCCCACTGAGCAGGGAGCCGGATGCGGGGCTCGATCCCAGCACCCTGGGATCATGACCTGAGCTGAAGGCAGACGCTTAACTGACTGAGCCACCCAGGTGCCCCGGGTTGTTTCCACTTTTTGCCTATTATGGATTATTTTGTGATGAACATTTTTGTACAAGATTTTGTGTAGGCATATGTTTTCGTTTCTCTTGGGTATATACTTAGGAGTAGAATGGCTGGGTTATGTGATAACTGTATGTTTAACTTTCTGAGAAGCTGCCCAAATGTTTTCCATGGTGGCTGCCCCACTTTATATTCCCACCAGCAACATACGAGGGTTCCAATTTCTCCACATCCTCACCAACACTTGTTATTTCCCATCTTTTTTCATGTGCATTTGAGAAGAATGTGAAGTCAGCCATTGTTTCTTCACATGAGTTTTCTGCTTCTTTCCCTCTCTTTTCTCCTTCTGGGACCCCTATAATGGGAACGTTCTTCCACTCGATTTTATCCCATAGTTCCCCTAAATGATCTTAATTTTTCAAATTCTCTT